CCACACCCACACCCACACCCACACCCACACCCACACCCACACCCACACCCACACCCCTAACTGTTCAACACTATCGATGGCATCGTAGTCTTGGTCATCAAGATCACTGGCGGAAAGATCTAAATACAGATGATGATATTTTTACACAGGAAAGAAGATTGAAATTATTTACCATCTAATTCGAAATGTATCTTTGATGTTACTTGTGTAATTTGCTTTGAATGAGAGGATCTTGTCGAAGAAGACTGTAGAATATAGGCAACCATTGTTGTATGAATTGTTATGCGATTAGTTAAAATACTTACAGAAATTGTAGATATCTGTTCGACTTGTTGTGGTCGAATATCGGTAGCTGAACCAATTGACATTGCATCAAAACGATTACTAGAACTTTTTTTATTCGCTAATTGCCGAATGTGAGTGCGAACCTAGATAAAGATTTGATATTGATAGAATTAAAGATCGGAAACATATATTTATCTAACCTGCGAAACTGTCAAATATTGCGACGGTGTAAACAATTTTGTTTCATCAAGATTGCGTGCCGATCGAATACGGCGTACGTATTCTTCAGGATCAAGCTTTTGTCCATTAACTTTTTCTTCTTCATAAATTTTTTGAATATATTCTTTCACGGCTTTATCAATACGATGTGACGGCTTATGAGTTCTTGAAGCCCATCCTGTGTTTTCGAAAAGTGAAAAATTTTTTGGTAGATGAATAGGTGAGTTGGATGTTGTAGTTGTATTAATGACACTATGAATAGCAGGATTACTAGCACGCATTCTGAAATAGATTTAATAAAACGCATAAATGAAGTACATGCCGTCCTAATGTGATTTACTTGTCAAAAAGCAAAATTTTTGCTGCGTCATTGGCACTGAAATGATTATCTTTCGTTGTATGTTGGCCGATAGATTCATGAGTAATAAGATCATCTTCAGATTGAAAACTTTCACTACATGAATCATTGGAACAAAAAAAAAAGGACATATGTTTTCGATCAGTTCGTTTCTTTTTTTCTGAATCAAGAACAATATTGATGGCATTTGAATTTGATCTAACAAGAAAATTGAATTTTAATAACACATGTGAAAACAATAATCTACGCAATTAAAAAAATCAGCGTCGGATGGAATATCTTACGGTTCGAAAGATTCGACGAGTTTCATATTGATTGGTATATCAAGTGGTGAAAAAGTAATGGAACGTCCTGGACCGATTTCAGATGCTTTTCGTAAAATCATACGATTTTCATCATAGGCAATATTCCGGATCGTACTGATGTCAACAATACGATCATTATTCCCTCGACTGAAAGGAGGGTCATACAAAAAAAAATAGTTTGTGGGTTTGTGTCAGGGTCAAAAGAACATACCAGAGAGGTTAGCTTATTTTAAGACTTTTGGTCGTTTTGAGTGAACTTTGCCATAGGTT